ACTTAGGTTATTTGTATTGTTTTAACGGACGTCGTTTTTGCGTTTTTCTTTGTCTTCTGGTTGTAAGTAGGATAATCGTATTTTTCGTCGGTATGTCGTTTTTTTTCGTTTCCTGTGAATTCTCATCATGTGATGTGTTTTGTGTTCGGCTTTTCTGCTCCTGCCTTGTTTTATGACATTTATTTGATGGTTTGGTTTTGAAACTGAATTTTCGATTTTCATTTCCAATTTATCTGATTTTCATTCATACGATTTTCATCATTTTTTTTCTTTTGTTTTTTCCAGTTTACCTAATCGTATGGCAATGAGCATTTTAACCCCGACTACAAGTACGCAAGTCTCCGTTAGCAACAAGGTTTGTCCATTCAATTTTATTCTTACATGTTTCCCTTATTTCACAGGACTAGGTGGTAACATTGTTTGCTTTATTTTAGATGATTGGTGCGATTATGGGTAGATCTGGTTGTCGTATCAATCAAGTTCGGCATGAGTCAAATGCTGATATAAAAATTAGTAAACAAGAACCCGGTGTTGAAGATCGTATCATAACAATAACTGGAACTCCTGAACAAATTCAAAACGCTCAATTTTTCCTTCAGATGTGGTACGTTGGTGTTACCTTGAATAAGATATTTTATGCGAAATTCAGCTTTAACTTTATAATATTTAGTTTTAAGATTTTCTGTTAACAATCTTATGTTTCAAGGTTCGAAATTTTATTTTCTAGATATCAGAATTATACATGTTTCTGTGATTGTAAATTTAATTTCCGTCAAATAACCAGCATCTGCAGCGATGCTGCCTTCTCACAAGGAAGGAAGGGTTAGAAGAGATCTACCCTAAAAATGTCACACCTCACCCTACCTTACGGATTTCCGTCTCCGTCGGTAAGGGTGCCCACTAAGGACCTTTAAGAGCGGAGCTAATACTCAAAAATCCTCTCATAAAAAGGCCGTGCGTGACCGGCCTCAAGCAGTTGTTCCTTGGACTCTGCGCTCACGCTCCCAGGTCTCTATGACCAATACTAATCTATCTTCCTTTTAGGTCCCTCAAGAATCAACTTTCCACGGTGTGAGCAGCCGGGAAGTGACAACCGCCCTCATACACGTAACAGCAGAGAGATCAAATTGGCTAGTAGGTGCCTAACATATCTATCTGTAAAATCAAACCTGAAAAATGTTATTAATTTCGATCTCTATGTTTTATATTTTAATATTTGAGATGAGGGGCAAGTCAGAGCTAAGTAGCTAACTTAGTGTCGTAATCAGAACCCAACTTTAACATTTCTGTAACGACCACAGTTTGCTTAAAGGTTTGGAACATTTTACGAATTCCGATATGTTTGTCGCTTCAACACTTGATTTCCTAGCCGCTTCTTATAACTTCAGACTGCTACACTGCTACACTTAAACTCAAGCTTCAAAGAGAAGGTGCGAAACGTGGGTAAATGCTAACCTCCGGTGATAGTTATCTATAAAACATCCCGTGTGTTTTTTAGTTTCATATAACCTTGATCCTCATTAAAATTCCGGAAACACTGAATAGTAATGACACATTTTTCTATACACCTCTAGAAAGCTTCTATTCACCGCCGATTGGACAAAAGACTTTGACTAAGAAAATGTTTCAACTCCTACCGACTTATATTATGTTTTAAAGTAATTTAGTATTAGGCTTGTTTAACATCTAAAAAATGTTCAACTAGTCCAATTAAATATTCATTTTTTGTGTTGTGAATAGTAATTCATCATTAAATCCGTTCATATGAATACACCTCTTGTCAATTGCACAGTATTCAACACAAATCGGACTGTGCAGCAACATCACTAATTTAGATACCGAATGGGTCTACTTCAAAGTATCATAACTATATCGATCATTTTATTTGAACTGATACTGGAGAGATGTAATTCAGTTGAAACTTGACGTAACCAATGACTATCGCTTAATTCTTCAAACTAAAATAGTGATAAAAATGAAAGTTTTTCACGCCATGAATATCTTCCTCGTCTATTTTAAGTGGTGCGCTAACGAACGTTTGTACACATTAAGTGACAAAGCGTATATATATATGTACATTCGTATCACTTTTTGCTCATCTGGACACTAAGCCATTAGTTTAGGAACCCAGAATTCAAACACTGTGTATTTGAACAGAGTCTTGTTAACCACTTTAAACCGATAAACTTCTATGCGTCGCACTGGGTAATCGTCAGTCAGTTAGCACCAACATAGAACACAGTATGTACGTAACTCATTTCAAGTTACCACACCACATTGACACAAACCGATACGGAATTACCATTCCGAATCCCATAGTAACAGAGATTATAGCAGTCAGTTCAGTCATAGATTTGTGCCATGTTATTGGTTTGACTGCAATTAGAATTCTTCCAACCTACTCCTTTTCTCACAGAAAATCCATCGTCGAGGCAGTCGGTGGTTAGGCATTCGTAACCCATGTCCCAACCACCTCAACTGATGAAGTTTCACCACTTCATCGATCTATCTGCCATCCTTAACTAATACTCTTTTCCTAACGCCAGCGCTCCTTACTCCATGGTCCCAGGATATACGAGCAATGCTTCGAAGACACCTATGGTCTAATACTGATGAACTATGAATATCCTCTACTTTTACTGGCTGTGTTTCACAGCTGTAAAGTAGGATGGAGCGAACGGCTGCGAAGTACACTTGTTCTTTTGTTGGTAGACCTTTATCTCGCCTACTTTATAATTGACGCATGTTGGCAAAAACCAGTGAAACCTGTATCCGTGCGGAGATTTCGTCACACCAGACCACCAGCACTGATGAGACTCCCGAACTAAGTGAAGCGGTCTACACATTCGACTACTTCACTCCCTATCATTAGTTCAGGTGCCGATACAAGCCAATCCTGAAGCAACATTTTACATTTCGAGGGAGAGAATCGCATCCCAAACATGCTTTCATTGTTGCTTAGGGTAGTTAGAAGACTCAGCATTTTATCAGCGTCTTCACCAAACAGGACTGTGTCATCCGCATATTTCATCAACAAGCTAGTCTCCTAATAGATGTTCAACTCCTGAAAAGTTAGACGATACAAGTGTTGTCTCTAAAAAAGCACATTAATGAAGAAGTTGAATAAGAATGGAGAAAGTGAGTAGTCGTGATGAACATCACTTGAGCTAATTAATTCCGATGTCAGTTCTCTATAAGCTCTTACTCGACCAGTATAAGGTTAGTGTACTTCTTTCAATGACAGACACTGCAAGATTAACAGAGACAAATGTGCCTTTTAAGGTAAAGGAATACATCTGTTGTTGGACGCCGTTTTAGAACCTGACGTAGTTAGAATATGTGATCTATACATCTACGTCCAAAACTGAAAGCAGCCTAGTGTTCTCTAGTTCGCTGTTCACGAGCTATACTTAGGCGTCTAAGTATCCACGTCAAGGTCTGAACGCACCCCGATTTTCTCGAGTCTGCTCTTCACAAGCTCTAGTTGGGCGTCGAAGTAGTATTTAAGCCAATATTTTAGATACTACATTAGTCAAACTGATTCTTCTGTGATTGTCACGAGAGGACTTTTGTCCTTTCTCATATAGATCGGGACAATCAATGATTGAAACCAGTCGGATGAGACTACGTACAGTTACCAGATTCTACCTTAGACATCAGTTAATCTAACTGCTAAAACTGGACCACCATCCTTCAAAACCGCAGGGGTTAGCCTCTCATGGTTTGCTGTTTTCTCTCGCCTTAGATTGCCTATCGCCTTATCAACCTTGTTGCGAGTCGGACGACTTACACCAACCTGCCATTCAGGTTGACTAGCGATCGTGGGTAACCGAAGTGTGGTCGAAGGCTAGTTGAACTGTTCCCTAGAGTGTCTCGCCCATCGATTCAATCTCCCGGATTGAGAATGAATAATAGTCCGATCCTTTTCCGAGATCGAATTCCCAATACCAGTTCCCTTGATAAATCTGAACAGTTGTCTACTGTTACCTATCATCACTGCCTTTTCCACCCACAACTGCTCTTGACCACGGAGTAAGCTTTTTGTCAGCCTGTGTTTAAGGTGGCTCCACTGCTCATTATGTTCAGAGCCATACAGGATGAGTTTTAGAATATCTATCAGTCTAATAGATATTACTGAAATCCACTGCTTTTCTCTAACTTAATGGTTTACCCTACCTGACAGATAACACTGTTGTTTTCATAGCTTTTTGGCTATCATTCCAAGCTGCATTGCGATGGGCAACATTTAAGTGGCTGTCTAGCTAACTGGTTTGCTTGAACCATTTCATTAATTTATTTCACATAGCCTCATTTTTTTACGGCAACAGTTTATCTTTACCATTATACTTTTATGATTGATTGATGAGCTAGTATATATACGTACGTGTATGCTTGGGCATCGCCTACCACCTACGCACAAATTCATTCTACAAGCATTATTGATTAATTGATTAAATCATTCGATAATTGTATCGACTTTTTTTTTATTTGTAATCAATCCGATAATTGTATCGACCAATTTTTTTAAATTGACAAAATGAATTGTGACAGCGACTCGCGTTTTTATAATTACAGTTGTGTCAGAACGGCAATATTACTAAGACGTGTAGGCATACATCAAATATCCACCACTCTAGTACTCTTGGCTTTTTTTTATTGTTAAGTAGATTTTTAGGAGGGTTGTCTTGACCTGTCTTTATCAATCCCTAGATCAATCAGAGTTAGACATTAACACCGTTGGATGCCGGCCCAGCGGTCCAATGGTTAGGCGTTCGCGCACAATACCGAAGGTCCCGGTTTCTAATCCTGCGAGGTGCAGGAGTCGTGGATGCGCACTACCACTGATGAGTCTCATACCAGGACGAAACGGCCGTCCGGTGCTTCCAGGTTTCTAATGGTGGTGGTCTAACAATGATTGATTGATGATTTCAAACGTGTAAATTCATAGTGTATTATAGATATGTAGTAGTAATGATGATGGTTTTATAGTATTTATCGTGATTGTGTTAACAAACTCATGATATCATGTTTGTTTCTTTGTTTTTATTTTCAGCGTTAAACGATATGGTGATCAACTTTGATTCCCTACTACTGTTCATTCTGTTTTCGTTTCTTTCCAACTCCGTCTCTTGCGGAACTACTAACTAACTAACATACCAAACCTTGCCCGTCTGCCTAATTTTATTATCCCTGAATGCTTTATATCTATCTCATCATCATCATCATTTCAATGACACAGATATATTCTATGCAGTTCATTTGTTTATGTTTTTGTGGTTTTGTAAAAATGAACAAAAAAAAGCTTATTGTATTATTATTACCTCATTCTTTATGAATAAAAATCACTAATCAATATGAAAGTTATTGTAAATAATAATAATATGGATCTTGCCTTCTTTCTTGTGACTCTTACTTCATTTCTGCCTAGAGCTTGCTTGTAGCATTCAACGCTTCTGATTCAAACGTGTATTGCTTTTAATTAAGGTTCGTTATTATTATGATGATGATTAGCAGATTTGATAAGTCATGTGATACATGTTTAAGAATTTAGTGAATACACTCATACAAATCGACTAACGAAATCTCTATAAAGAAGATACTAGATTAGTAGAATCGTTTGCACAATGGCACATGTGCATCCACTCTTTGTGTGCTTTTTAATTCTAACCTTCTGAATTCCTCATAATCTCTATCTTTCTCCTTCTAGATTTATCTCACTGAATGATACTTCTCGAATCACATCTTCGCTCCCTAATCGTCTGCATTACTGCTAATACTTCTACTATCACTATCACTCTTGGATTTGAACTGACAGTTACGTCTCTGTGTGCTGACGTGGTATGGCAATCTGAACTGATGTAGTTATGTACAAAGTTCTGTGTTGTATCTGTCTGTCTATATTAGATTAGTAGTAATAGTCTTGTCGATCATGTGATAATACCATTGCCTTAATAGTGTTATATTTACGTAGTTTTTGGTGCTTGTTGTTGTGGAGATTCAAATTTATTGGTGATATACTACATCTAATCCAACACACTGATTACCCAATGAAAGAAACTCTGAAATACTGGTTAACATTCATGTTATGATTGTTTAGGAAAGAGATTTCGATAACTTGTAACCAAGGTAATTCACTGAACTAACTCGATCATATATATATAGATGACAAAGAAAAACTAAACATTAGTCGAGGACTTACTTAGTATAAGCTACAAAATATCACCTAATTGGATGACTTATTTAGTCTTTTTTTATCGGTGATAAAACTACTCTCAGTGACATTTGTTTGAAGAATGAGACATTTGCTTTTACAACTAGATAGACATGATAGAAAATTGTTTTTTTTATTACGATGAAGCCAATAACATTCTGAAAGAATTCCGATGCTGATTGATTTTCTGCGTCCAAGTCACCACCATATGTGATTAAAGTCATTCACTATTGTATCAAGTATGTTATTTAATTAAAACTGACAAATTGGGAAATCTCGAAGATTAATTTAATTTCAAATGTTAAATCTGCCTCGATTGACACGATCAAGTTTTCAACAGGTGATCGCAATAAACATGGGAAGTTATTACATAGTTCTGATGCATTCCATCTTATTGTATCATTCAAATTTATCAAAGAGAATAAATTTTTGATCCGTAGATATAATCGTCCAGTGGATTTGGTGAACATTGAATTCATCATACCACATAGCTAGTTAGTCACGACGTAGAACTTCGTACATACGTACGTCAGTTCAGGTTGCCATACCAATTTAGTTCAGAGAACGCAACTGTCAATTCAAATCCCACAGTAGTAGAGATAGTAGAAGTATCAGCGGTTATGGAGAAGTATAAATCAGTGAAATAAATTTAGAGATAGAGGTGATGGAGAATTCGGAAGATTAGAATTTCAGAGAACACAAAGAGTGGTTACACCTGCGTCGTTGTAAACCATCTTGAGCTATGTCGTTTAAGGTCTCTAACCGTCGGTTACCACCGTTGAAATTTTGCGGCAGGCTCTCTACTTGAACACTAATGGTCGAGTGAGAGCTTATGGCGAAGTGTCGTGGGAATTGATTACCTCGAGTGGCGTCCGTCACGACTGTTCATTTTCTCCATTCTTGTTTTACTTCGTCATTGATGTGCTTTTAGAGATGACACTTGCATTAGCTGACTTTTCAGGAGCTGACCTTCTACCAGGAAACTCGCTTGTTAGCAGAATATGCCGATGACATAGTCCTGTTTGGGGAAGATGAAGTCTGACCACCCTAAGCAACAATGAAATCATGTTGGGGGATGCGATTCTATCCCTCGAAATACGAAATGTTGCTTCAGGATTGGCTTGTATCGGCACCTGAAATAGTGATAGGGAGTGAATTAGTCGAACGTGTAGACCACTTCACTTATCTCGGGAGTCTCATCAGTGCCGATGGTCTGGTGTGTGACGAAATCTCTGCACGGATACATAAATTTCGATTAGCTTTTGCCAACTCGTGTCATTTATGGCGTAGGCGAAATATCCATTTGTCAACCACATACAATTTCAATTAAATATATCTTATATGAAGTTATCGAATATCTGTTATCAATCGGGTGTTTGCTCACGATAGTCTTTGTATTTAATATATACCAAATTTAACATGGTTCGTCGGTAATGCTTAGTTTAAAAATGAGATTAAATAATCGAATTTGTTGTCTATTGACCATATCTCAACGCAAAGTTGTTTGACTTTGATGGGTTTACGACGATTTATACAACCGTCTTACTTCGTCGAGTGCTGCACGCAAACGTGGAGTACATGGAAAAGCCCTTGATGCTTTGTTTCAACTTATAGGCGTTAGGGCTACACAATATGACGGGGTAGATGTGCTGCGATGTTGAGTATGGTGCTCCCATTACGCCTTTTCAGTACCACAGATAAGAGGACAGAAAAGTGATCCCTACACTAATTAGGATTCCTATCTAGGGAGAGAACTCTTATTTGATGGAAACAGTTGTCTTATGTGGTGCATCAGTTTGTTAACCATAAGTCAATTCCTCTTCCAGATACTTTGAGCGAGCTTACGAAATAGCACCCTTAATCATTCCGTAGTTCCTTTCCCAACTTTTAAAGCAGTTAATTAAAAAATCAATCATGTCAAAACGAGCGATTCGAAGCTCTTTCTCGAAAAATCATAAATTCTTGCTGTCGACATAATCTTGTTCAATGATGTTTACATGCTTCTGGCATTATGCATCTTAACACTCTTGGAAATCTTGCTTTTACGCAATTACAAAACCGAGTCAGTTATTCTAAGACTAACATTGAAGCTTTCAATGTTCACGATTTTGGACTTTGGAATCAATACCATAACGCCAATAGAATTCTTGAGCATTGCCATACTGATTGTAATATAGAATAGAATAGAATATATTCTATTCTTTTGACTGGCTGGCTATTGGAGAGGAATACTTCTGAGATCATCATCAATATTTTTTTAGATTACCGTAAGAGATGTCCCATCGGATTCGTTGGCCAGACACCATCAGCAACAACTTACTGTGGGAGAAAACAAACCAGATTCCATTGGACAAGGAAATCAGGAAGAAGTGGTGAAGTTAGTGGATAGGACACACACTACGAAAAGCACCTAACTGCATCACAAGACAAGCCCTCACATGGGACCCTCAAGGCAAAAGGAAAAGAGGAAGGCCAAAGAACACATTACGCCGAGAAATAGAGAAAGATATGAGAAGAACGAACAAACACATTGGACAGATTTGGAAAGGGAAGCCCAGGACAGAGTTGGTTGGAGAAAACTGGTGGGCGGCCTATGCTCCATTTGGGAGATAACAGGCGTAAGTAAGTAAGAGATGTCCCATGCGTACAATGGGTGTATCAATGGAGTTTTCCTACCTGTTTAAAATCATTTATGCAACAATGAAAACAATAAGACTATTGCACAAAAAAAAATAAGTATCACTGTTTTATTTTGAAAAAAAAAATTTTTTTTGATCATATGTACAAAAAACGAACTCGTTTTTTTATCTTCTTTTCATCATTTTAACCGTAATCACACACACAATTTGGTGTTAAAATAGCACAGATAAAATGTTTGCTTTTTTTTGCTTTTTAGCAAATTTTCCTCCTCCCTTTTTCTGTTCTTAATTAACTATGTCGTCCATTATTCGTTCCAGAATCAATAATCGATGATACTGTTGACAATTCACATGGTGGAATTAGCTTTTCCAATATACGCATACTCAATTCACCAGTATCTGGATTAATCAGTTGAAGATTATTCATATGACTTTGTAAAATACGTTCAATTGTACTAGTTGATAATTGAGCCATTTGTAAAATATTTGACATATGTGATTTAGAACGATAATGTTTACATAAATGTCCACTAACACGAAAACCTACATGACACATATTACATTTATAAGGACGTGGATCTTTATTCACATAAGTATGTGATTTATTAACAATACTATGATGATTTGATTGTGTTGTAGTAGTAGTAGTAGTAGTAGTAGTATTATCTGATTCGGATTTCTTTGAAATATTATTATTATTACTAATATTCATGGAATTATGTAATGATTTGCAATTGTTCTGTTTCATGTTGTCATTGTTTACATTTTCTGATGATGACGAATAATCATCTTCTTCTGTACAAGTGGTAAAACTACCATCACCACCACTGCCACCACTAGAAAGCAATGAATTTGATTTATTCTCATCATTTCCATTATTTTCTTGATGACAACATGATGGAGTAGAAGTGGATAATAATTCTTTAGAAGAAGAATATTGTATTTCTTCGGAATTGGATATATTGAAATTAGCAGTTTGAGTATCAGTTGTTGTTGTTGTTATTAGTTGTTGTTGTACATGATCGGATAAATTTCCGGCAGTGGATATTATTCGTTCAAAAATTTCTAATAGTATAATATATTAATAAATAACAATGGCAAATTATTAGATTTTAAAAAAAATATACAAAATAGAAATTTGTTATAAATTATGTGCTTATCAACAACATTAAAACTAAGAATTATTGGAATTTCAGAGAACACAAAGAGTGAATTCACCTGCGCCATTATTTTAAACGACTCTGATCAATGTCGTTCAATGTCTCTAACCATCGGTGACTTTCGTCTCGCGGACCCCAACCAGATAGCCTACATCTACCAACATGACTTAGTCTACTTGTCAGTGACTTCATGTATTTGTGGCATGTTTTGGTTTGGCCGTCACCAGCTTTCTTCCAGCCTACCCCTACACTGCAAAACATAGCTCGTCGAGGCAGTCGGTGGTTAGTCATTCGTAACACATGTCCCAACCACATCAACTGATGAAGTTTCAATACTTCATCTAATGATTTATCATCCCTAACTAGTACTCGTTTTCTAACAATTACATTGCTGAATCGGTTGTTCCGAGCAGTGCTTTGAAGACATCTATTGTCGAATACTGATAAACTACGAATATCTTCTACTCTGACCGTCCCTGTTTCGCAGCCATAAAGTAGGACGGAACGAACTACTACGCAGTACACTCAACGTCCGGTTAGCAGGCGGATATCTCGCCGACGCCATAAGTGACGCAATTCGGCGAAAGCCAATCGAGCCTTCTGTATCTGTGTAGAGATTTTTCGCCACAAACCAGGTCATCAGCACTGATGAAACTCCCGAGATAAATGAGGCGGACGACACGCTCAACCACTTCACTCCCTATCACTATTTCAGGTGTCAATGCAACCCAATCTTGAAGCAGTATTTTGCATCTCGAATATGCTTGCATTGTTGTTTAGGGTAATGAGAAAACTTTGTATTTTGTCAGCGTCTTCACCAAATAGAACTATGTCATCTGTATGATAACAAGCAATCAATTTGGCATATATTAAGTTCATATAATAACTATGAAATTAACATTATCTAACATCAAAAATACCAATGATGTAAAATATTCATTTTTTTTTTTAACCAGATTGAAATTCAACACTAATCTATTTCGATTAGTATCAATAACTTTCATTCATTGTAAACACTACTTACAATGAAGTTTACAAGTATTATGCAGTGAATATGCAGCAATGTCACCATGAATTTACGCACTAAACGAACTGTCGGATCCAGATGCAAAGTGTTTTGAATAACAAACAAAAAGACATGTTGGATAAAACAGCCAAGAATAATACTCTTGTTTTGCAAATGGATGTTTTATGGTAAAGTGATACACATTTAGGCTCGTACGTAGTTTGTATATCTTACTGTCCTCGTTTGATTACACTAGCAATTCAAACAGCAATGAAGTATACATAGAATTTGTAACAGATATACACACTCATTCATATATTTGTTACTGTTGACTGAGTTCAATTAGTTTAACAATGAACTAATCTGAACAACAACAAAAAAACAAATCACCTTTAAAAATATTTTTTTTTAAAAATTAGTCCTTCTGGTAGATTCTCTATGATACAAGATTACACAATCAATTACATACCATAAATTCTTTTTCATTTTTAGTTTTAATTTTCAAAGATTATTATTACTAATTGACTGTTACAGGTTTTACAAAGAAAATTCACTCACTTTAGAATTATTAATCATACAAAAAGCAAAAAAAATTGCATTATGGGGTTGTGAAGATTGTTCAAGTTGCACATTTCTTTTGAAACCATCAATCGATCAATGTTAGACCATCACCATTAGAAACCTGTAAGCACTAAAAGACGGCCGTTTCGTCCTGGTATGGGACTCATCAGTGGCAGTGTGCTTATCCACGACTCCTGCATCTCGCACGATTCGAGCCCAGGACCTTCTGTGTTGTGCGCGAACGCCTCACCATTGATTTCAAATGTGTGAAAACACTAATCTCCATAACTCTAATTGAAAATATCGTAAAATGTGCTCACTAGTGACAACTAGCTTCGTGAGGAAATTCTCGAAGTTCTAGTGAGAACACGTGATCAGTGGAGTTGAACCCTGTCGAGTGTAGGCAGTAACTACCGAAGACAAGTGGGTGGTCCAATGGTTAGGCGTTCGCGCACAACACCGAAGTTCCTGGGTTCGAATCGTGCGAGATGCAGGAGTCGTGGATGCGCACTGCCACTGATGAGTCCAATATCAGGACGAAACGGCCGTCTTTTAGTGCTTCCAGGTTTCTTCTAGTGGTGATCTAACATTAATCGATTGATCGTTTCAACTAATGTGTCAAAAGAAAAATGTATGGTGAATTTAAAGCTCAAATCAATAAAAAAAAAAATGACAATACTCACTTGAATCTGATGCAGAATGATGACTACATTTATCATCTGTCTGTTTTAAATTGGAATTATCTATAGCTAGATGACGAGCTGCTTCAACTGCCGTCTGAACAATTACTTCAGTTGATGAGACAAAATTGTTTGCATTCGGTTGATGATCGCCGCCTATCATCATCATCATCGGATCAGAATGATGATTCGATTGAATTCCATTCATTTTAGTATAAATTGTTGGTTCAACAATATATCGAATTAAAGCAATTGGTTCTTGTGGTTTAGCACTTAAATTCATTGGTAAATCCTTAAATAATTCATACAAAACAAAAATAAAAACAAAATTGATCAGAGATGTCCACTCTCTCCATTCTTGTTTAATTTTATTATAGACACGCTCTTAGAAATAACGTTATCCTCGTCTGAATTTTCAGGAGTAGACCTTCTACCAGGTGGCTCGCTTATTGACTTTAAATATGCCGATGACATAGTCCTACTTCGTGAAGACACTGACAAAATGTAGAGTCTTCTGATCACCTTAAGCAACAATGCAAGCATGTTTATGATGCGGTTCTCACCCTCGAAATGCAAAATGTTGCTTCAAGATTGGGTTGCATCGGCACCTGAACTAGTGATAGGGAATGAAGTAGTCGAACGTGTAGACCGCTTCACTTATCTGGGGAGTCTCATCAGTGCTAATAGCCTGGTGACTGACGAAATCTCAGCTCGGATACAGAAAGCTCGATTGGCTTTTGCCAATTTACGCCGTTTATGGCGTAGGCGAGATATCCGTTCGCTAACCAAAGGACGGGTGTACTGTGCAGTAGTTCGCTCCGTCCTACTTTATGGCTGTGAAACATAGCCGTTAAGAGTAGAAGATGTTCGTATGTTACAAGTATTCGATCATAGATGTTTAAGAAGCATTCAGTCAGTCAGATGCAACGTAGAACTTCGTACGTAAGTACATCAGTTCATGTTGCCATACCACATCAACACAGAGATATAATTGTCAATTCAAATCCAATAGTAGTAGATGTAGTAAGGGAATTTAGAAGTAATCGGAGAGTTTAGGATTAGAAGATACTATTCAAGAAGTATGATTCAGTGAGAAAAGTTTAGAAAGTCAAAACTAGAGGGGTTGGAGAATCCAGAAGATTAGGATTTGAGAGAACACAAAGAATAAATGCACCGGCGCCATTGAAAACGGTTTTGAGCCATGTCATTCAAGGTCTCTAACCATCGATTATTATCGTCTGGCGGACCACAACCAGATAGCCTACATCTACCAACATGACTCAGTCCACTTGTAAGTGAATTCATGGCTGCCCCTAGCTTCCGTCCGAACTATTCCTACAACGCAAAACATAGCTAGACGAGGCACTCAGTGGTTAGGCATACGTAACACATGTCCCAACCACCTCAACTGATGAAGTTTCATTACTTCATCTATTGATTTGCCATCCTTACCTAGCACCCGTTTCCTAACAACAGCATTGCTCACTTAGTTGTCCCAGGATATACGACCACCAATGGCTTCGAAGACACACCTATGATTGAAAACCAGTAACCTACAAATATCTTCTACTCTGACTGGCCACATACTGAAATTTAGTACAGTCACAAAACAAAACAAAAAAAGGATGAACAAAGCCTACTAGTAAAAATAATATTATTGTTAACGTAATAGTCTAGATTAATAAAACTGTCACTTGAACAACTTATTGTTGAATTCAGAATTCATACTTGTACATCGTATATACAAATACTTCGCTGAATTTCAAGAAATAAACAATATATAATGTAAGTTTCAGGATATACACTAACATTCATTCGACTGATCATATTCTTTAACAAGTGAAATCACATTTCTTGACTAACATTTTCTTTCATCTCAACTATGTAATACTAGTGAGTTTGACATTAAAAACTTTATATATATATATATTGTTTTAAAATAAAAAGTGTAAGCGAAAAACAATACTAATCATATTAAAATTACCTGTGATAAATTAACTGCATTCACATTAGGAGCTGGAATACGACTGCATGAATCCATTGTATGTGTGCATGTGTTATTCGACTGCGTAGTGCAAAATTTTAATGACATAGTCCCGGATAATGATGATGATGATGAAGATGGTGATGTTGTTGTTGTTGCTGCTGCTGCTACTGAAGATGATGACGATGTTGATATTGATGATGTTGATGTTGATCGAGGAATGATTCCAGGCAAATTAGTACACATTGAAGATTTGACTTGATTTCGTTTATTACCACCACCACCACCACCAGAAGAAATGGTACGATTGTTGATTGCGCCGGTAGATTTTCTAGTTTTACATGATAAAGATGATGTTGATGAAATAGTCGATGATTTAGAATAAGGTTGACGGTCTTTAAATGTACTTTTATTATTATTATTACTGTTATTATTATTATCGATCGTTAAATTATGGGGTACTACTACATCATTAGATTGATGCTCAAATTCTTGATTAATTACAGGATTAAAAGAACTATTATCACTTGATAGAGAAACTTGATTAACTCCTGAATCTTGTAAAAATCTAAGGAGAAACAGTTGAAAAATAAAAACATTAAAATGTGCATGTGCATGAACATTGAGTGAATTCGTTATTGCACAAATTGACTGGTATATTGTACCAAAAATCATGAATCATATTGAGACAATAGTAATAATAGTAATATAATAGTATTAATAATAATAATAATAGACAGACAGACAGACAGATACAACGCAGAACTTCGTAACATAACTACATCAGTTCAGGTTGCCATACCACATAAGCACACAGAGAGGTAACTGTCAGTTCAAATCCAACAATGATAGCAATAATAGAAATATTAGCAGTAATGGAGAAGATTAGGGAGCGAAGATATGATTCGAAAAGTATAATTCAGTGAGATAAATTTAGAAGGAGATAGAGATTATGAGGAATTCAGAAGGTTAGAATTAGAGAGAGCACAACGAATGGATGCACCTGCGCCATTGCAAACGATTTTGAGCCATGTCGTTCAAGGTCTCTAACCATTGGTGACTTACGTCTCACGGACCCCAACCAGGTAGCCTACATCTATCAACATGACTCAGTCCACTTGTCAGTGACTTCATGTAATAATGATAATAATAATGGTAATTATGACTTAATCGGAAAACTTTATTGTTTCTAAGCTAAATAATCACTGTTACGAAGTTCGAACCTGAAATGAACTAAAAGAAATAAATAAATTTCCGATTAAAAAAAATGACTTGTGCATATTGATGAATGACTTATGTAACCGGTTACTGATCGATTATATATATAGAGAGAGGCATACACTAGACACAGTTTCATTCTTTCACACTTTTCATAATATTAGCGATATGAGAATAGTTTTATTGAAACCATGAATCGATCAATGTTAGACCACCATTAGGAGGAACCTGGAAGCACTGAAATACGGCCGTTTCGTCCTGGTATGGGACTCATCAGCAGTGCGCATCCACAACTCCCGCACCCCGCAGGACTCGAACCCAGGACCTTCGGTATTGTAGGCGAACGCCTAACTATCGGACCACTGAGCCGGCGTTTAACAGTGTTAGTGTCTAACTTGATCAATTCACGGAGTTGCACAACCTCATACCAGGATAAAACGGCCGTCCAGTGCTTCCAGGTTTCTAATGGTGGTCTAACATTGATAGTCGATTCATGGTTTCAATAAAACTTAACAATCTTCACAACCCCGTAATACAGAATAGTTTTTGCCAAATACTTATAAAAAAAATAAATCCCAGCAGCCATAATTTAGTCAAATTGTTTTATTCTCACCAATCAATCAATCTTTAAACAATTAAAAAAGAAAAATCAAATAGAGTTAAATTTTGTCAGTATAATATAGATTGCTAAATTACATGATTACTACTTAATGTATAATGTACAATTTTCAAAAGTCAATGATGAAAAGTTATTTTATGTATAGTATATCTCTTCTGCCAAATTCTGAACTTCAAAATTCTTTATGATCTTTTTTTTATTTGTTATTTTTTTAATTTATTTCCAATCAGTCAGTCAGTCATCCAGTTACAACGTAGAACTGTGTACGTAAGAACATCAGTTCAATCTTGGTAGCATCATCGACGAGAAAGGTGGATCCGATGCAGATGTGAGCGCACGGATTGGCAAAGCAAGGGCTGCACTCCTACAATTGAAAAATATCTGCAACTTCAAACAAATATCAAGCAACACCAAAATCAGGATGTTCAATACAAATGTTAAGACAGTTCTAATGTATGGAGCGGAAACTTGGAGAACTACGAAATGCATCATCCAGAAGATACAAGTATTGATGAACAGTTGTCTACGCGAAATACTTTAGATTCGTTTTCCAGACACCATCAACAACAACTTACTGTGGGAGAAAACAAACCAGATTCCATTGGACAAGGAAATCAGGAAGAAGTGGTGGAGGTGGATAGGACACACACTACGAAAAGCACCTAACTGTCTCACAAGACAAGCCCTCACATGGAACCCTGAAGGTCAAAGGAAAAGAGGAAGGCCAAGGAACACATTACGCCGAGAAATAGAGAAAGATATGAGAAGAATGAACAAAAATTGGACAGAATTGGAAAGGGAAGCCCAGGACAGAGTTGGTTGGAGAAAACTGGTGGGTGGCCTATGCTCCATTGAGGGTAACAAGCGGAAGTAAGTAAGTAAAGTAACATCAGTTCAGGTTACTACCATACTGCTTTAGCACAGAGACCCAACTGTCAATTCAAATCCCATACTGGTAGAGATACTAAAAGTATTTCTGGTAATGAAGAAGATTAAAGCTTGAAGATACTATTCAAGAAGTATACTTAAGTGAGATGACTTTACAAAGAGAAAGATAGAGGTAATGAGAAATTTCAGAGAACACAAAGAGTGGATGCACTTGCACTATTGCAAACGATTTTGAGCCATGTCGTTCAATGTCTCTAACCATAGATTACTACCGCCTCGCGGACCCCAACCAGGTGGTTTATTTCCAATGGTTTATATTATTTCGACTCTTATATTCGATATATAATCTTGTCGATTACCACTAACACTGCTACTACTTGTACTACTCAAATATTTGACCTGGCAATTTCATCTCTCTCTCTCTCTCTCTGTGTGTGGTATATTATGATGACAGCTTGAATAGTACATACCAACTTCTAACACTGCAACTGACTGAAATTCAAAACATCAATCAGTTACAACAACAAAACGTGTTACACACTAACTGATTAAATAATATGACATAACTATTCTCATGTCCTATTCATTGATACTGATTCATCGCTACAAATGAAGATAGGCATAATTCTAGAAGCGTCTGGAATCTCAAGGTCACAACACAGACCTATAAATATCCTTCCTAGTTATTTTATAGACAACTAACTTTCAAAGTAAAACTTTTTTCAAGCTTCCCGGTCTTTTAGTTTTCTGTTCAACGTTCAAGAATCAAACAATTCTAGAATAACAAAGTCAGTATCGAAGTATATTCAGACACAAGATGTATGTATCACAAACATAAAATATAATTTTAAATGTTTCATCATTTATATTCCTTGTTCGTTAACATATATTCAAGGTCAAGTATTCTATTTTTTTTAGAAAATTTTGATGTTATTAAGCCAAAACAACATTCTCCATTCACACAATGAGATATACATACACCATGAACAGACTAAATATCTAGACTATTTTCTATCTAACTTGTTTATCACTATTAAGGTTATCATCATCATCATGATCATTATGATTATTTACCAATCAATTAAAAATGTTCACTACACATTCACTAAATAAAAAGAGAACAACTCATTGATCATTTGAAAACAAGAATATGCATATATATATATATATATATATATAAAACACACAACACAGACCTGTACTTAAAAGGTCATCATCAACACTACTATTGTTCATGATTAAATTAAAAAAAACTTAGGCATAAGATGAGAATAAATAAAGAAGTGTAGGATTTATTTATTTATCGATTGATTGGTTAGCTGAATGAATTTCAATTTGTAGGCAGAAAAGACAAATAAAATAAACCATCAATAATGTGTTCATATTATGACCTAGTAAAAAAAAATCTGGGATTTTAATTTTAAAGTAGAGAGAGAGAGACATGGTGAGTGTTGAGAAATATTGCTCGTATACCGTGGGACAACCGAGTAAGCAATGCTGTCGTTAGGAATCGGGTACTAGGTAACGATGGCAGATCAATCGATGAAGTGATGAAACTTCATCAGTTGAGGTGGTTGGGACATGTCTTGCGTATGCCTAACCACCGACTGCCTCGACGAACTTTGTTTTGTAGTGTAGGAGTAGGTTGGAAGAAAGTTAGAGGCGGCCAAACCAAAACATGGCATAAATCCATGAAGTCATTGACTAGTGGACTGAGCCATGTCGGTAATTGTCGACTACCTGGTTGAGGTCCGCGAGATGATAATAATCGATGGTTAGAGACCTTGAATGACATGGCTCAAAATCGTTCGCAATAGCGCCGGTGCATTTATTCTCTGTGTTCTCTCAAACCCTAATCTTCTGGATTCTTCAACACTTCTAGTTTAGACTCTCTAAACTTTTCTCACTGAATCATATTTCTTGAATAGTATCTTCTAACCCTAACCTCTCCGATTACTTCTAATTCCCTTACTACCTCTACTACTATTGGATTTGAATTGACAATTATATCTCTGTGCTGATGTGGTATGGCAACATGAACTGATGTACTTACGTACGAAGTTCTACGTTGCATCTGACTGACTGACTGACTGAGAAATATTAGTTAAATTCAGAGAGTAGTCAGGCTAAGACATGATATCCAGTCGAGTCATATGACATGATGAAAACTTCATGATTTGGGTCTGAAGCCACTACTAACCACCAGACTGGGAAATCTAAACAAATGTCGATTACTTGATTGAGGTCCTCAAGATTGTCATGGCAAATGGTTGGAAACATTGCCGCTGTTGCGAGTGACAACCCACAGAATAATTGGTTGTGTAATAATAGCACAGAGGCTTTCACTTGTTGACTTCCACTAGATTACAAACTTTTTCAACATCGTAGTATCATAATCTTTTGCTGTCTGATTTCAATCGAACTATATATATATATTTTTATATCTTTAGTCATTGTTTTACCGTGTTTGGATTTGATCCTGTTAAATTCCTCCTAGTATGTTGATATGATGTGATACAAGTGTGTGTGTGTGTGTTCTGTTTCCTACGTTGTCTATGAGTGACTTGGCTACTTCGATTTGATAAGTCGCATACTTTGAGTACTGGACTTTATTAATAAGTACCATTATATAATTTGTAGTATGTACTAATATTTAGGACCAACAGGGCTTGTCCCAGCCTTCGGACAAATTAATTAATCCATTCCCTCTCGGGCTACTTACACATCCTTCAAACTTGTCCATTGTTCACGCATAACCTTGGTTGTTTTTTTTACCTGAATGAGGAGTGTGTAACAACGCTTAGTTCGCTTAGCAGGTCTAGCTTATTTTTATCTGACTAAAAATACTTAATCATGTCTCATTACATTGAGTTGGTTTAATCGCCTTCTCCGCTGAATTTCATTTTACTTTGCTTTTACTATACTTCGTTTTGCTCGTCTGTCTGTGTGAATGATCGTCTGAAATAAACTTATCCAACGGAATCCGTATTTGGCTTCTTATTATCGCTATCGCACAAACGGAGTTAGTAGAAATATAACAGAGAGAAAATCAAAGGGAAGATTTATTTCATAACATATTTAATTGTTAGTCCCCGACCGTAGCTGCTACCTTGACGTGGTTGTCGGGCTTGCCTATCGTCATGACCCAACTGCGAACTATATTGGCTGGAACTTATGTTCCTGAAGGTTCTACTGTGACAGACAGGTCGATTGGAGAACAATGAGACTAAAATCAGCTACTCAAGGTCTGAGGGCAAAGTCGTACTGCTGACTACTGCAGAGGGGTCTTGGATTTGAACTGACAGTTACGTCTCTGTGCCGATGTGTGGTATAGCAACCTGAACTGATGTACTTATTGTACGAAGTTCTGCGTTGTATCTATCTGTCTGTCTAATTGTCAGTCAAAATTGAAGTCAAATTCTGGGCAACTAAAAACTACTATCTAATATTATCTAAAACCATTTAACAATCATTCTTCTTAATACAAGGATCTACCATGAAGCGTATTATGAACATTAAAATATAATAATAATAAACTGCACAATCACCAGAATTAAAATATTATATAGTTAAAATGTATAACCTTAGTCTAAAGACAAACATATAATGACTCAAGTTGGAACATAGCAATAAAAATCCCATGCTCACTAGTGATTACATTCGAAAGGTAATTCCAGGAGCTCTAAAGATAAACCGTAACCAATGGATTGTGACTTTGTCGAATGTGAGGCAGACACCATTTGAAGGTAACAGATGATCAAGTAAATTGGATTAAGTTAAAAACCTAAACTATAGGTTAAGCGCTCGTCATTAAACCTGTCTATCTTGGGTGACATCACTGACTGGATAGCCGATGCACATCGCTGAAGAATCCCATCCTAGGATTAAATAGCTACCTATTGCTTCCCAATTTTTAATAAATATTTCACTAAGATTAGTTCATAATGTAAACTATGAGAATCTAAATGTGTTTTACAAAAATTTAGATTGCATCGTAATTTCATTAAATAATTAGCTTAACTTAAAGTTCTTAATTCATAATCCCTCCCGACCGTAGCTGCTACCTAGACGTGGTGGTCGGGCTTGCCTATCGTGATGACCCAACCGAGCTATACTGGCTGCAACTTATGTTCCTGAAGGTTCTACCATGCCGAGTACGTCCATTGGAGAACGATCACACTAAGAGCAGCTACTCAAGGTCTGAGGGCGAAGTCGTACTGCTGACTGCAGAGAGGTGTGACAGCAGTAAGGTGTTTCCCTCGGACAACCAGCATCTGCAGCGATGCTGCCTTCTCACAAGGAACGAAGGGTTAAAAAGGTCGACCTCGAAAATGTCACACCTCACCTTACTTCACGGATTTCCGTTTCCTTGGGTAAGGATGCTCATTAAGGGCTTTCAAGAACGGAGCTAATACTGAAAAAACCTTTAATAAATAGGCCGTGAGTGACCGGCCTCAAGCAGTTGTCCCTTGGACTCTGCAGTCACGCAACCAGGTCTGTAAGACCAACTCTAATCCACCTTCCTTTTCAGGTCCCTCAATGGACACCCTTCTAAGGTGTGAGCAGCCGGAAGTGACAACTGCCCTTATATCCGTAACAGCACAACGCGACCAAATTAATCGAAATCAAATCCTTCCTACACTGACTGACCCCCTCAGCCAAAAATAAAAATAAACATGAAACTCAATTGTAATAAACAAATTTCAGACATTTAACAAACAAACAAACAATCATTTACCTATCATGATGACAACGTGATTTCATGTGTTTGTTTAAATTACCGCGTGTTTTAAATGAAACATCACAATTCTGACAAATATACAATCGATTAGTAGTAGTTGAATGTGTATGCCAATGCTTTTTCAAATGATGCTGATGCTGATGATGTTGATGCTGATAAGATTTACTAGTATGCAATACATTATTATTATCTTGACAACGATATTTTCCACGTGTTGAAATGGTAGATCGTTGTGAATTCAGCAGATTAGTTAAATATTTCTTTTTATGATGATAATGATTATTATGCATGGTAATAAAATTGATTCGTTTTTTATGCTGATGATGCATATTGGAGATTGATCGAGATTGACATTTTATCTTTTCTAATGGATGATCTTGATCTTGATGATCATGAGGATGCTGATGATGATGATGATTAGTATTGGCTGGTAAAATAGTGACAAGTTTATTTTGATGAATTGATTGTTGAGATTGTTTAGTATCAATTGGCATTATTTCATTGTTGACATTTTTATTCGGTGAAACAAAATGACCAGATAGTGATGATGATGATGATGAAGTGGAAGTCGAAGTAGGCGTAGACGAAGAACAATGACTGTAATTGATATTATTGCTGGTAATTGTACTAGTACTACTGCTGACAAGGCATGCAGTAGTAGTAGTAGTAGGAGTTAATTTTGTCAAATTATTTGTTGTTGTTAACTCATGACTAGAAACTAGTATTGGTAACATTCTTTGATCGGAATTCATTTGTCCTCCTCCTATACCAACACCAGTATGACCAGTATGATGATCTTGCATGGATTTGCTTTGTACAGTTGTTGATAATGAATTGTTTGATTTTATTCTAGAAACTTCAGGTACAGGTCTTATTGGAACTAAAATGGAAAATTATTATTATTATTATTATTATTATTATTATTATTAAAAACAAAAATCGTACAAACTAAAATGAATTGAAATGAATTGAATTGATTTTCTCAACAGGAAACTTGAATATTAAAAAAAAAACAAAAGTCAGACAAAACATACAAAATTTCTGAAAGAAGAAAATGTTCAATGCAGGAGAAATATAAAAATTCCCAGTCAATTAAGTAGTAAAGGCTATTATATATGTGGAGATCGCATTATTGTCATAGTGGCAATCATGAACCTAAAAGAACTGAGTCAGTCGGTCAGTCAGCCAGATGCAACGTAGAACTTAGTACGTAAGTACATTAGTTCATGTCGCCATACCACATCAGCACAAAGATATAATTGTCAATTCAAATCCAATAGTAGAAGAGGTAGTAAAGGTATTAGAAGTAATCGGAGAGGTTAGAATTAGATGATATTATTCACGAAGTATGATTCAATGAGATAAGTTTAGAAAGTAAAAGCTAGAGGTGTTGAAGAATCCAGAAGATTAGGATTTGAGAGAACACAAAGAATAAATGCACTGGTGCCATTGCGAACGATTTTCAGCCATGTCATTCAAGGTCCCTAGCCATCGATTATTATCATCTCGCGGACCCCAACCAGGTAGTCGACAATTACCGACATGGCTAAGTCTACTTGTCAGTGACTTCATGGATTTCTGTCATGTTTTGGTCTGGCCGCCCCTAACTTTCTTCCAACCTATTCCTACACTGCAAAACAACTCGTCAAGGCAGTCGGTGGTTAAGCATACGCAGCACATTTCCCAACCACCTCAACTGATGAAGTTTCACCACTTCATCTATTGATCTGCCATTCTCATCTAGTACTCGTTTCCTAGTAACAGCGTTGCTCACTCGCGTGTCGTAGGATACACGAGCAATGCTTCGAAGACATATGATCGAAAACCAATAACCTACGAGTATCTTCTACTCTCACTGGCCATGTTTCACAGCCATAAAGTAAGACGGTGCGAACTACTGCACAGTACACTCGTCCTTTAGTCAGCGAACGGATATCTCGCCTACGCCATAAGTGACGCAGGTTGGCAAAAGCCAATCGAGCCTTCTGTATCCGAGCTGAGATTTCGTCAGTCACCAGGCCATCGGCACTGGAAAGAACTGAGTAGCCATTTTGTTTTGATAACAATTATGTGCTTATATTGTTGTGACTAGGTTATATATAGGTTATATTCCTAGAGTTCTAGTGAAAAGTTATAACTAACACAGTCCAATAAGGTGCCGAGTATAGGACAGTAATCTGTAGCAGTTAATAGATTAAGGTTGTACAAGATCATAGATGATTGATTGAAATTCGACATCAATATTGTTTGGTTTATGCACAAGACTAAAAGTTCTGGGTTCCATTCTCACAGCCTGGGTCGAAGATGTGCACTGACGAGAAGTCTCATACCTGGGACAAAGGGCTGGCTATCTAGTACTTTCAGGTTTTTTTAACGGTGGCCTGATTTTAACTGTGACAATGCTCAATGAATAAAGTTCCCTCCTAGTACGTTTTAATGACGAAATCGACCACGTTAAATTGACATGTTATGCAGATTTTATTACGAATTTAATTGAAATAAGATAATTTATCCGTCTCGCTGACCTTATCAAGTAAGAAACCATTTTATAAACGGGATTTTTTTTATGTGGTTAGGCATTCGCGCACAATACCGAAGGTCCCGGGTTCGAATCCTGCGAGGAGCAGGAGTCGTGGATGCGCACTGCCACTGATGAGTCCCATACCAGGACAAAATGGCCGTCTTTCAGTGCTTCCAGGTTTCTAATAGTGGTCTAAGAATGACTGATTGATGATTTCAAACGTGTGAAAACACAAACCTCCAAAACTCTGCCCCAGTATCTATCTATCTATCTATCTATCTATCTATCTATATATATATATATATATATATATATATATATATATATATATATATTAAAAAGACGAACTATTCATTAGACTGAATTTTCCCAATCATCTCAACTTTGTAGAATTGATGACAAATCAATGACAGATCGATAGAATTAAGAAAACAACACAGATAAAATAGCAATGAGAATGATTCTTAATTAGCATGACACTTGTTCAACTCGCTATTATTATATGACAGATGAATCTTCTTTTTTCTCCTTTAAAAAATCAACTTATCCTACTGTTTTCTTTTGGTGTTTTAATAAACAGTAGAAAATGATTGACTACATACAATATGCCTTGCTTATTTATAGTGAATAATGTTCTTAGTTTGTTAAATATTATTAGAAATTTAAATTTCTTATTCTCATTAGAGAAAAATATATATGTATATATGTTACAAATAAAATCATTATTTTTCTATTTATGACCATATTTTAAATAAAATTTATAAATGAATTTCGAAAATTCAAACACTAAATATAGTAATGGCAGAAAAGAAATCGTTTTTTTTTTTTACAAAGAAGTTATACTAAAAATGGTAATCTGAAACAGTATGAAATAGTGTAAAGTTGAAAGAGTGTGCAATCCTAATAAGCTATATATATATATATATATATATATATATATATATATATATATATATATATATATGACGTGTATATATATATTCATATAATAATAGTAACAATGAATAGAACTATTCCATGGAATAATAATAATCATCATCATCATCGAACCGATGACAATCTATTTTTAAAATTATCAACAGGAACTTATGAACAAAATCGGTTAGAAATGTAAACACTCTATCAGTAAATTTAAATAGTTTTCAGTAAAAAAAAAGAAGAGTAAAAGACTTAAACAAAATCATCAATCAATCATTGTTAGATGTCCGCCATTAGAAACCTGGAAGCACTGAAAGTCGGCCATTTCGTCCTGATATGGGACCCCATCAACAGTCGTGGGTGCGTACTGCTGATGAGTCAGTCCCATACCAGGACGAAACGGCCGTCCATAGATTCTAAGTTTCTAATGATGGTCTAACAATGATTGATTGATGATTTCAAATGTGTAAAAGAACACTAATCTCCATAACTCTAATTCAAAATATCGTAAAATGTGCTCATTAGTGACTAGCTTCGTGAGGAAATTCTCGGAGTTCTAGTGAGAACACGTGACCAGTGAAGTTCAACCCTGTCAAGTGAGGTCGCACAAAATCCGTAGATCAATCAGAGTTAGACATTAACACCGTTGGATGCCAGCCCAATGATCCAGGGGCTGGACGTTCGCGCGCTAGACCGTAGGTACTGGGTTCGAATCCCGCAAGGTGCAGAAGTCGTGGATGCACACTGCTGATCAGTCTCATACCAGGAAGAAATGGCCGACTTTCAGTGCTTCCAAGTTTTTAATACTAATCTAACAATGATTGATTGATGATTTCAAATGTGTAGAAGAACACTCATCTTCATAACTCTAATTGAAATAAATTTGTTGATTGTCTAATTCTCTTCTTCTTCTTCTTCTTTTACGTCATTGACGCGTGAAAAATTCTATTTTTTTTTCTTTTCTTTTCTTGAAAAATTAAATAAAATATTGTCTACCTTGTTTATTGAAACAACAGTGCATTTCAATTATCAATTTTGCATTTTTTTTTTCTCTCTTAGTAAAATATTTAAATAATTTTAAGATAAATTGGCAATAATAATTATGTTGACATTTATATATGAAAAGTATAAATATTTTTTTGAAAATGTGACTGCGCATACATACATACAGTAAGATAATTTTATTGTCATTGCTAAAATGCAATGCAAAAGAAGGAAATGCAATTGTAGTTTTTTTAAATAAAAACGCAGAAAAAATGATCCATATTTTAAGAAAATGAGAATTAGTTCAAATGTAATACGACTGGGTAAGTAGGTAATCAATCAAGTAGAGAGATGCATAAACTAACTTTTTAATCATATATCATCTCTTAGTTAAATACGGACTAATTGTAACAATCTAATGTTATGGTTGTTACTACTGCTGCTGCTGCTGCTAATCAAAGTAGCTGGGCTGGAATTCGTAGTTGCAACGGACTAGTTGAAAGTCAAGTGTTAAGTTATTGGAACCCCAAACGTAAAAACCGGTGAGGAAATGATGAAAATAATCAACGATTTCTACAATCTCTTCATCATAGTGATCAGTCAGTCAGATGCAACGTAGAACTTCGTACGTAAGTACATCAGTTCATGTTGCCATACCACATCAGCGCACAGAGATATAATTGTCAATTTTAAATCCAAGAGGATAAGGTTTGAAAGACAAAGGTAGAGGTGTGAAAGAATCCAGAAGATTAGGATTTGAGAGAACACAGAGAATAAATGTACCGGTGCCGTTGCAAACGGTTTTGAGCCATGTCATCATAGTGATAATCATAGGTTTATTAATGATTAATGTCGACCGGTAACACCTGGAGTGCTAGTGCAATCATGTTAGATGTTAGGTTTGAGTGACTATTAGATGGCGACCCAATGATCAATGGTCGTTGCTAGATCTAAAGGCCCTAGCTTTCATCCCTAGTAGGGTTGTCAATACGTACTATTAAAGAGTCAACAATTGCCCAACATCAGTACGCAATGTAGACTAGAAAAGTTAACAATTTACATAAACCACTTACATATATAAAAGGAACCTATTAGATTGGACTAAGCGAATTTTCAGGGTAATTTAAGTTATAAACAACATAATTAAAAAATAACTAATAAGATAAATAATAGACACTGACAAATAGTGTTTTGAAATTAAGGCAATATAAAATTCCAACAGATTTTGAATAAAAACAAAAGTACATTTTCTATCGGTAAAAATCAACAACACACCGAAATAACAAGACACATACCAGTTGGGTTTCAATCCAAGCTTAAATGATGAAATCATGGTGGATGAATTAGTTTGGAATAAATAAATAAATAAGGTTGATTAGTTTCAAGTTTTCAATCATCAAAAGTAATGATAGACAGACAGACAGACAAATACAACGCAGAACTTTGTACATAAGTAC